TTGTTGTTGTTGTTGTTAGGTGCCATCGAGTCAGTTCCGACTCATAGCGACCCTGATGATCTCTTGCTTTCTTTGTGTATGATGTTCTTGATGTCGTCCCACAACTCGTCTGGTCTTCGGTCATTAGTGATCAATGAAGCCATTGAGGCTGGATGAATTCCCAAAACTATTTCCCTGAGATAATCTTTAAATCTTAAACCAAAAATATCCCTGAAGTCTTCTTAAAACCAAACAATAGTTTAACTAGTAAAAAATATCTGCCTTGAGCATTGTACTCTTTGAAGAACTATCTACTATGCGGGATCAAATTGACAACAGCAACTCGAAAGATTAGATACGAAGCTTAGAGGGCAGTGAGTTTATGTTAAGCGGGGGGAAGAACGATTTGGAAAAAGAGGGTGAGAATGGGTGTACAACTTGAAGAATGTAATCAAATCAGTGTCACTGTTGAATTGGTGTATGTTTTGTCGTATATATTTTCAATGACAACAAAAATAAATAATTTTTTAAAAAAAGAAAGAAAGAAACTCCCATGTATATAACCCCTAAACAAAAGTTTAGTTTTGGGGTTGTTTTTTAACTTTATGTAAATGAAATAATATGTATTTTTTTTATATCTTATTTCCTTCACTCGAATGTTGCTGTGTGTAGTCATAATTAATTCATTTTTATAATTGTATGTTGTTGTTAGTTGATGAGGCAATTCCAGCTCATGGCAATCCCATGTGTGTGGAGTAGAACTGCTCCATAGGGTTTTCAAGGCTGTGATCTTTCAGAAGCTGATTGTCAGGCCTGTCTTCCCAGGCTCCTCTGGGTAGGTTTGAACCACCAACTTTTCAGCTAGTAGTCAAGTACTCAACTGTTTTTGACTCCCAGGGACTCCTTATTGTATACTTTTTCATTATACAAATCTGCTACAGTTGATTTAATCAAATATTGATGGACATTTGGGTTGTATCCAGTTTAGGGCTAGTTAATATGAATAACGCATCTATAGACATTATCTTACATGAATCCTGGTTTCGGGCTATATGCCCAGAAGTGGAATTGCTGGGTGGGAGGGAGAGTTAACAACAGATCTGAATCCGTTTTCTGTGGGAAGATGACTTCGATTTACTTTCTTCCACCACTGTTTCCCTGGAAACACACTGGGTTAAGGTAATTATGGTCAGCTGTGTTCCCAGCAACAATGTTTACTATAAAAATGATCCTTGACTGGTAAACTACACTGGATTGGAAGACTGTGAGGGGACTCATAGACCCCAAGAGCCTATGTGATCAAGGCTATGATGAATGTTTTCTATGGGGGCTTAGAAGCTACACTCATGAGCTGTTACAAGATATAGCTTCTAACTGCCTCCTTTATCATGAGACCAGAAGAAATGAACATTTAGATCAAGAATTCTATAGAAGAATCCGGATTAAAAGGTGGAAAATGTAGAACAGAATTTCAAATTCTCATGGAATCCAGACTTTCTGGAGCCATTGAGGCAGATGACCCCCCTGAAACTATTACCCTGAGGAAATTTTTAAACCTTTAACCAAAACTGTCCTCTGAAGTCATCTTTGAACCAAATACAAGTAGTCCCCTACTTAAGACACATTCAAGTTATGACTAACCACACTTATGACCATCCATTTTTTTTGTACATCTTATTGTTAGTAATATGCACTATATACAATGTTGCAGTGTGTAATTTGCTAATGCTATCATTATCATGCCAACCTACAAAGACAAAGATTGGATTTATAAAGATACTGATAATAAAAGGTAACAATAATAAAACTAAAAAAAAAAAAAAAGAGGTATTCGAGTTATGTCAGAACCGACTTAACGACAGTGTCAACAGAACAGAACCTACCTGTAATGGTTTAGCCTAATTAGAAAACAATGTCTGCATGAAGCATTATACTCATTTAAAGAATTATCTATATGTGATCAAATTGACAACCACAACTCGAAAGGATAGATGAGAAGCTTTGGGGGGCAGTGAGTTTGCTTTAATGATAGTGAAATAGTTTGGAAATGGTTGTCGAGAAATATGGTGCAACTTGAAGAATGGAACCAATGCCACTGAACTGTACATGTAGAAATTGTTGAAGTGGTGTATGTTTTGTCATGTGTATTTTCACCAAAACAAATAAACAAACAAGATGTGGCTTTTGTTATATATGGAACTTCCCTATGTCAGGATGGGCAGCACCTACCCATGAGGAATTATCTCATCCCTTATCACTGGAGACACTCCTTGTGGGGGCTGAGAAGCAGCCCCCGGAATCTCAAAGACGTGTGTTAGATGTCCTTTATATTGTGGTGACAGCATGCTGTGTTTCCTGTCCTGAACCCTTCTACAAAGTTAAGTGAACTTGGTGCCAAGTTACAGCCTATTGGGTCCTGTGAGTGTGAATGTCAAGCTGAACCCAAAACCACTGCTGGTCATAATACCAAGTGGATGCAACCCATGTGAATAGGGTATGCTTAGCTTCAAATTTAATAGACAATGGGGGGAAGAAAACCGTTTTCAGAATGCTGTTGTTGTGTGCTGTCGACTCGGTTCCAACTCATAGCCACCTTTTAGGACAGAGTAGAAGTGCCCCATAGGGTCTTCCTAGGCTGAATCCTTCTGGGAGCAGATCACCAGGTCTTTCTTCCGCTGAGCCTCCGAGTGGGTTGGAACAATTAACCTTTTGGTTGGCAGCTGAGCCCTTAACAGGTGCACCACCAGGGCTCGTTCTTTTCAGAATACATATGACAATATGTACCCCCACTAACATTTCCTAGGAGTTCCCACTGCTCCTTCTCCTTCTCTCCCCAACACTTGGTATTAGTGGTGCAACAGTTAAGCGCTCAGCTGCTAGCTGAAAGGTTGGCAGTTCAAACCCACCCAGTGGCTCCACGGGATAAAGACCTGGCAATCTGGAGGGTTCAAACCACCAACTTTTTGGTTAGCAGCCAAACAATCGCTGCACCACTAGGGCTGCTTAATGTGCAAGAAATCATCCTATTTGGCCTGAACAAGCATTTTTTTTTTAATGAAGAGTAGAATAGAAAATAGCAGAATGAATCCCACATAGGAAAGGTAAGTATTATTTAGTGAAACTTTTTTTTCAGAAATATATATATGTGTCTACATCTGTATCTGTCTGTCTGTGTGTGTATGAACTGGGTCACAATGAGTCATGGTCAAAAAAAAGCTTGAAAGAACACTGCCCTAGAAAAATCAAATGGTTTCCAAGGTCAAACAGCAAGATCCCGAGGGAGATGGGATTAGAAACCTGCCTAGACTCTGTTCCTTCTCAAAGGCAGGACTACCATCACCCCCTTTTTGCAGATGAAGAAACCTAACCATAAACCAAGCCAAACCCATTGCCGTTATGTCACTTCTGACTCATAGTAACCCCATGTGTTACAGAGTGGCCTCACCCCTCTGAGCCTTAGCTTCCTCTTTGGAAAAATGGGGCTATGGAAAGCACCCACCTGGTAGGTTGGTCGGGAGCCCAGGTGGCGCAGTGGTTAAGAACTCAGCTGCTAACTGAAAGGTCAGCAGTTGGAACTCACCAGCCACTCTGCAGGAGAAAGATAAGTGGGTTCCAACTGCTCTCTAGGATTTTCTTGGCTATAATCTTTATGGAAGCAGATCACCAGGCCTTTCTTCTGAGGCTCTGCTGGGTGGATTTGAACTTCCAACCTTTAGGTTAGTAATCAAATGCAAATTGCTTCTGCCACCCAAGGACCCACTCTGTTGTTGTTGTTAGATGCCATTGAGTTGGCGCTGACTCCTAGCAACCCTATGAACAACAGAACGAAACAATGCCTGGCCCTTTGCCGTCCTCACAATCATTATGCTTCAGCCCATAAGAACCACCCTACTTAATCATTAATTCCAACTCATGGCAACCCCATGCCAGTCCCCTTTTTGAATGCTGGGGACTGTGCTTAGCATTAAACAGCCACGTTCCCACTGGAGATGGAATACCAGGTGGGTTACCAGCCTACCAAAAAAACGAAACCTGTTACCATCAAGTCAACCCTGACTCATAGCAACCCTATAGGACAGAGTAGAACTGCCACATAGGATTTCCACAGCTGTAATCTTTACAGAAATGGACTGCCACATCTTTCTCGATGGTGGGTTCCAACTGCCAACCTTTTGGTTAGCAGCCAAGCTCTTAACCATTGCGCTACCAGGGCTCCTTACTAGCCCACCAGGTGGTGCTTTCCATAGCTCCATTTTTCAGATGAGGAAGCTAAGGCTCAGAGGGGTGAGGCCACTCGCTCCTAACTGGGATTCCCAGGCGCCTGGGCTCTGAACCCACCTTCCTGTCCAGGGCTCTGGTCTGCTTCTGTAGCTCCTCCACTTCGGCCTGCACCTGGGCCTGGCACTTGAGCAGGTGGCCCATGCGCTCCAGCCGCTTGCTGTCCTGTAGCCGCTTGACTTGGCTCTGGGCAACGCTGATCTGCATCTGGAGGCTGGCCCGCCACTCCTCTAGGCGCTGGATCTCCCCCCTGCCCAGGGAGGCAAGGAGGCGGAGCTCAGTATCGCTCAGACCGGGAGTCCAGCTAGTGGCTGCCTTAACTCCCCCTAGTCCGGGGACCCAGGCGCCGGGCTCACAGTTGCTTGCCGATGCGCTGGCGGACTTCCTTGCTGTAGGATCGCCTTTCGCCTTCCATCACCTTGCATTTTCTCTGCAGGCGGCTCAGCTCCCAGTCCACTGGGGGTGGGGCCGGGCAAGGAACTCGATCCAAATCTGGGCCCCCATCAGGGTCTAAACCCATTAGGGTCCCACAAACTGCCGCTGCAGACCCAGCCCCGTAGGTTGGGACTGCATCTCAGTTCCTGTGTCCCTCAAGCTCCCCCAATTCCTTCAGACTCTCTGGGCCCCAAGCAGACCTCTGGTTCTTTTCGTTAAACCCACTCCAATCCCGGGTTTGGGCACGCGACTGTTGCCCACTAGAGGGCGCTCCTGGAAGGCCTCTCTGGCCCCAAGGTCCCCGCCGCTAAGACCAGAAACTTGGGAGAGGGCAGGACAGGTGCCCATACCCCCACTCCCTCCCCTTCAGCCCCCACAGCCTCGGCCCCCTCCTCCTGTCTCCTCACTCTCTCCGCCCAGTGCCCGCATCTTCTGTCTGAACCGGCCCCCCCTCACAGCCCCAGAGGGTCTTTCTACACCCAGAGCAGACCCTGCCGTCCCTCTCTTCACAGCTCTCTCAGAGCCCCAGCAAAGTCTCAGCTCCCGCGTGTTCAAGGCCCACCTGACCTGACTTTGAATGTCTGCAACCTCAAGACACTTTGCTCTAGCCCAGTGGTTCTCAACCAGGGCCAATTCTGCCCTCCCCCCCTAACATTTTTTATTGTCACTACTGAAGGCGAAGGAGTAGGTGTTACTGGGTAGAGACCAGCGCAGGACCAAAACAAAAAATCAAACCCGTTGAGGTCTAGTCAATTCTGACTCATAGTGACACTGTTGGACAGAGAACTGCCCAATGGGGTTTCCAACGCTGTGATCTGTTACGGAAGCAGATTGCGACATCTTTCCCTTGGAGCGCTGGTGGGTTGGAACCGCCGACTTTTCGGTTAGCAGCTGAGCTCTTAACCACTGCACCACCAGGGCTCCCAAGCACAGGACAGCTCCCCACAATAATCATTGGATCCCAAAGTTGAGAACCCCTGCTCTAGGCACATGCTGTTCTCTCTGCTGGAACACTTTCCCCTTCCTTCTTCCCCTGGTAATTCCTGCAAGGAGTTCTGGGCTCCATTCAAATTTCTCCTTCAAGACTCTCCCGACCACCCTACTCCACTGGCTGGGCCCACTCCATTCGGAGCAGGTCGGCTCCCCACTAGAGGGCGCACCAGTTCCCAGGGCATGGAACTCGGGAACTCTCAGGGCGGGAAAAGAATGAGTGAATGAAGAAAAAACCGCATGAATTACCCATTCCCTCCAGGAAGGCCTCGCTTTCCTCTGAGCGGGCGCTCACAGCTGAGTGTCCCAAAGGCATCTTGGCCACAGAAGGTAGGGCTCCTGCAGGGGCCGACACAGCAGTAGGCTGGGCGGGAGTAGGGTGAGGGAGAGACGGAGAGTGGGGAGGGGGTGACTCCAGAGCCAGCTCTGGCCGCTCCCACCCCTCCGGGCCCCATCGCGCACATTGTCTGTCTTTGGTCACAGCTCTGAGCCTGGTGCAGGGAACACGACGCTCTTGGTTTCTCTGAGCTCGTGGGGTACCTGACCTACCTGCCGGATGCCTGACTTGTTTTTGGTGCTCCGAGCTCACTGTTGTGGTCTGGTTACTGGGGAGATGAGGAGCCAATGAGGCCTGGGGACAGCGGCCAGGGAGGGACCGAGGCCGCGAGTTAGAGGATGAGGGCGGGGAGGCGGGGGAAGCTGCGAGGGGAAGGTCTGCGGGGCTCTAAGGGGCTCGAACAGATTAACTTGGAAGCTCTAGGGGGGCGGGGCTGGGAGGAAGGTGAGGAGCGACGTAGGTGGGCGATGAGGGGAGGGGCTGGGAGAGCCTGGGAGGGGCGGGGCTGGGGGGGCGTTAAGGGGCGGGGCTGGGGCCTTGTGGGCGGGGTTCATTTGAAGGGCTCAGGCCAGATGGGGCTTGCGGGAGGTCGGGATGGTCAGTCTGGGGAGCACGAGACTGTGAGGGGCGGGCCGTGTGTTTCCGGGGAAAACGTCCGGAAGGCGCTGGAAGGGCTTTGGAGCTAGGTCGAGTTCCTTCGGGACGGGGTCCGAGAGGTGCCTGTCTTAGGCTGATTAAGGCCACGTTATTTTGAGGATTCATTAGCAGGGAGGCAATGCCGAAGCCGGGAGTTGTGAAGGGGAGAGCGCTCACCGCCGCCTCAGATCCTCGCAGCGCCTCACTACGCATGCGCGGCCAACGGCCTCAAGCAAACCCGCCAAAAACGCTGGGCCGCTTAAGGGGTCCTCGCACTGAGACGCTGGAGTGGGCGGGGCTCGGGCGCTCCGTGCCGCCTCCACGCCCCCGTCTGGTCACACACCCCAGCGGCCTGCCACTGCCCACGTGGGCCTCCCGGGGCGGCTGGCGGTGGGCGTTGCTCCCTGCAGGCTGGGTGTGCCCGACTCCTGCGGTTTCCTGTGGGAGGAAGCGGCCCGCGGGAGCTCAGTACCGCTTAGAGGCCCAGGAGGGGGAGATTAAGCCACAGCCCTAGGGCCCCATGACTCTTCCCGTTCCACTCGCGTCTCACTGGGAGGGCTCCCTTAGTAACCCCAGGGAACCAAAGTCTAGCGCTGATTTTACTCAGGGAACTTGATTAGGTGCTCCAGCCTACTATTCTCCACCTCCCCGCTGAAGTTACCATTACCCTAGTCCCTGGTTCCCCCACTGTTCCCAGAATCCAGGTGCAATCCCCCCTTCCTTGCGCTCCATGCGGGACACATGACCCTCTAGCCCCTAATTTTTCCCTCAGTGACCCAGACCTTCTAACCTCCTTGAGAGTCAAAGTTCAAACCCCCAGTCTCTGTTCTTATCAGGGACTGAAGTTTGGGACCACCTATTCCCCATCTCCAGGCACCCCTCATTTTGGACTCCCAGTTTTAGCCTTCCCCCATGGGCCCAAGAATTGCTCCTTCCCCGAATCCTAGAGCCCTTGACCTAGGGTCCCCCAGTACCGAATCCACTCAGGACCCCAGATGCCTGGTCATAACTAACACACACAATGCTTACTGAGTGCCAGGCGCTCTTCTAAGAACCACCCTGTGATGCAGATACCGTCTTTATTTCACAGATGAAGAAACTGAGACATAGAGAGGTTATTAGTAACTTGCCCAAAATCACACAGATGATAAGTAAAACAGCTTGGATTTGATTTCTGCAAGTCTGGATATACTGGTATCCCAGATTCTTAGTCTCCCAGGTACTCGCCCAGTCACTGAACTACCCATCCTCCACCTCTACCCCCCAGGAAGCCCAGATGACCAGCAACACTCTCTCAGTCCCACCTCCAGGTGCCATCAGATACCCCGACATCCAATCATGCAGGCCCCTTGCAGGGACCCAGGATTCATGTTTCCCACTCACAATTCCATATCAGGACCCCAGACCCCTGGTCCCCTGTCCCTCACTTTTCACAGTAGACATGTCCCCAGCACCCAATCCTTGCAAGAGACCTAGGTACCTAGTCATCACCCCCCATCCTAAATTAATAACCAAAGAATAAATAATTATTATTATTATTAACATTAAGTCCCTGGTACTACAGAGATCATATAACTCTTCTGTTTAAAACGTTCCAATGGCATCCCACTGCACTGAGAATAAAATCCAAACTCCTCCCATGGCTTCAAGGGCCCCCTTTGATTTCCTTTCCCACCACTCCCTCTAGCTCCCGAAGCTCCAGCCACACTGGCCTTCTGTCTGTTCCCCCAACAACTCCAGCTTGTTCTCTCAAGAGCCTTTGCACTAGCTGTTTCCTCTTCCCTCCAGCATTCAAATGACTTTTGTTTTCAGGTCTCAGATCAAATGTCACCTCCTCGGAGAAGCCTCCCCTTATCACCCTGTTTAAAGCACCCTCCCCATCATAATCTCCATCACACGTATTTTATTTCCTGCAACAAATTTATCACGATCAGAAATTTATCCTGTCCATTGGTATGTTTTCACTTTATTATCTGTCTCCCTCTACTAGAAGGTAAACTCCATCATAACATTATAATCGGCTTTGTTCATTATAAACTCCTGGTCACAGTAGATGTACAATAAATGAGGAAGGAAGGAATGGGTTAGGTGTGGTAAACAAAAAAAAAAAACTAAACCTATTGCCATCGAGGTGATTCCAACTCATAGCGACCCTATAGGACGGAGTAGAACTGCCCCATACGGTCTCCACCGAGTGCCTGGTGGATTTGAACTGCCAACCTTTTGGTTAGCAGCCATAACTCTTAATCACTACACCACCAGGGTTTCCTTAGGTGCGGTAGTGCACCATTATTACCTTATTCAATACTCATAACAGTGTCAGAATCATTGTTAGAGTATTACTATCATTGGCAGTGTTATCATTATTATAACTGCTTCACGGATTAGGAAACCAAGGCTCTCAGACAGGTGAAATAATTGATTTGAGGTCACCCAGCCAGGAAATAATGGAACTGAGATTCGTAACTTCCAATTCCTGCCGCCTTCCAGAGTCTTACATATTCCATTTTCCGTCCCTGTAGTCCCTACCAGTGGTCCCTGGGTGGCGCAAAGGGTTGACTACTAACCTGAAGGTGGGTGGTTCAAACCCACCCAGCAGCACAGAGGAAGAAAGGCCTGGTGATATACTTCCACAAAGATTAAAAACCTATTGCCTTGAGTCAATTCTGACTCATAGTGACCCTATGACAGAGTAGAACTGTCCCATAGGGTTCCCAAGGCTGTAAATCCTTACAGAAGCAGACTGCCACATCTTTCTCCCATTGAGCGGCTGGTGGGTTTGAACTGCCAACTTTTTGGTTAGCAGTAGAATGCTTACCCACTGTGCCACCAGGGCTCTTTCCTTACAGTCAAGAAAACCCTATGGAGCAGTTCTACTCTGTAACACATAGGGTCACCATGAGTCGGAATCAACTCAACGGCAAGAGGTTTGGTTTTTGTTTGACCTCCACCCCCCGCCCCCCACCATGGTACCAACTCCACCAGCCCCCAGCCCACTCCAAGCCTCCGGAATGCGGCCTCCTTCCCTAACCCCCCTCCATTCCAAGTATCCAGCCCCAAGCCCTGTCAAACAACGGACATCCAGTCCCAGGCCAAGACATGAAGTCCTGAGAATCAGCCCCCCATGCCTGCTCCACCCCAAAGCTTCCCTGTGAGGATTTCTCATCTCCACACTGAGAGGGAACCCCAGAGATACCCGTCTGCGGGCAGTGGGTGGGGGCCAGGAGAAGGAGGAACCTGAGCGTGTGGACCCTCCCCTCTGGCTGCAGACCTCAGCTGGGTGCGGCTAGGGTGAGTATAAGAGGGTCAGTATATATTGAGAGGAGCAGAGTAAGAGAAACCAGGAGAGTGGGAGAACAGGGACAGGAGAAAGAGAGGCGAGGCAAAAGGAGAGACAAGGAGAAAGACAGCAAGCAAAGGTTCCAAGATTGAAGGGGAGAAGAGGGTGAGCCCGAGAGGAGGGCAAGCAGGGAGGGAGGGAGGCAAGCGGCGAAGGAGGCGGGGGCCTCCAGAGGGTGGAAGGAGGGAGGCGAAGGGCGGGGCAAGGAGGCCCAAGCGAGGGACTAGACTCCGACTCTGACTTTCCGCGACTCTCGGTAAGTTTCCAGTCCGTTATTCCGGTTGAGATTTCTTTCTTGACTTGGGGAGTGCGGCAGTCTGGGAAAGACACCGCTAGGCCGGGCCCCATGGAAATCCTTGGAATTTCAGAAGTGATCTCTTAGCACTTGGGGCGTGGATGCGGGAAAGGGAAGGGGAGGGGCCTGGCAGGCTTTCGGGGGTCCCAGAAGAGCCCCCCCGAAAAATTTCCTGCAGGTTTTTCCCCCTGGTTCTCCACTCTCCCCTGTGGACTCTGCATGAGAACACCCCAAGTCCTGACAACCTCCAGGCTCCCCTGTTTTTGGACACTGAGGGGTCATGGGAGGCTGGCTCCTTCTTCTTGGGCCTCCTTCCCCCCCAATATTGATCTCCGTCCATTTTCCCCACAAGGACACAGGCGCCCAGCAGGCTCCAGTCTGGCAGCAGGGGGGCTGGGAACTTAGTGGGCACAGCCAGGGGCTGGGGTTTCCCTGGTGCTTACAGGCGGGGCGGGGCGGTGGAAGGGGGAATGAGTCACCAGATGAGTCACTGGGTCCCCCTCCACCCCATTTACCCCCCTCCCCAGGAGAGGAGTGGGGTGAGTCAAGGATGCCGCTCCCTGGGGACAGCCCCTAGCTCCTGATGAATCTGGAGGATGTCAACTTGAATTTTCATATGCTGGCCCCTATGCACCCAGGGACAGGGCTCTGAAGAGATAGAGGAGTCAACATGCCTAGTCCTACTCGATATGGGACCCCAGGAGTCGATCCTCTCTCCAGCCCCTGGGGAACACAGGAGTCTAACCCTGCAGTCTCCTCCTCCCTCAGACACAGAAGTCCAGATCCAGCCGCATCCTCCCTCAGACCCAAGAGTCCCCAGCTCCAGCCCCCTCCTCCCTCAGACCCGGAAGTCCCCACCCCCAGCCCCCTCCTCCTCAGACCCAGGAGTCCTCAGCCTCAGCCCCCTCCTCCCTCAGACCCAGGAATTCGAGCCCCCAACCCTTCCTCCCTCAGACCCAGGAGTCCAGGTCTCCAGCCTCCTGCACCAGTAGGATTCGGGTGTCTCACCTGTCCCTGTTCCGCTAGTGGGGACTCCACTTCCTGATTCCCCCCCAGCCAGGGCTCCCCTGCAGCTATGTCCGTCCTCCTGCTGGTGGTCTCGGCCCTTCACATCCTCATCCTCATCCTGCTTTTCGTGGCCACTTTGGACAAGGTAAGCTACTTGGAGCACTAGGTCCTCAGGCTCTCCCGCAGACCACCCTCCTCTAAATCCATTCTGGCCCCGCCCCCTTTTACCTAGCATCTGCCCTTTCCTCTGACCCCGCCCCTTTTCCTTCTAAATCCATGCTTTCCCTGGTTCCACCCTTTCCCCTTCACTTCATCCTTTTCCTAACCCCTCCCACAGGGCCCCTGACCCCACCCACTTTCCTTTCCTAACCCCACCCTCTTTTCTATGACCACCCCAGTCCTGGTGGACTCTTCCCGGCAAGGAATCCCTGAATCTGTGGTACGACTGCACATGGAACAGCAGCACCGAAGCTTGGACCTGCAGTAATGTCAGCGAGAATGGTGAGGGGCGAGGAGGGTGGGGACTGATCTGCTAGTTTCTGGGGACCAAGGACTGGGAATCCTCAAATTTTGAGTGGACAAGTTCAGGCCTCAGGGCTGAGTAGGTGAGGCCGATGCGTGCTCCGCCCATCTGGATAATGGTGGGCAATACGCTCAGACTCTAAAGGGGATGGGCTGAAGCGCCCACCCCCCCTTACGATTCAAAAAGGGTGGGGATCACATGCTATTGATTTAAGGAGTGAGGAGGCAGCCTCCAAGACTCTGAGAAGATGGAGTTACGTTTCCAGTGTTCTAAGAGGAGACGGGTATTCCTAATGAAAGGCTGGATCAGTTTCTCCAAGTTCCAAGGAGGTGGGGCTAGCGCTACATTAAGGTTTTAAAGGGGTAAGACTAAGTCCTTCCAAGGTTCTAAAGGGTTGGAACTGAGTCCTTCCAAGGTTCTAAAGGGGTGGGGCTGAGTCCTTCCAAGGTTCTAAAGGGGTGGAGGCCGATGCATCTGAATTGGAAAGAAATGGGGCCACATCCATCTAAGATTGTAAGTGAAAAAGTAAGCGCTTTTCCCCCAAGATCAAGACAAAAATGTTTTGCTCTCACTCCTTCTATTCAACATTGTGCTGGAGGTAGCCAGTGCTACAAGGCAAGGAAAAGAAATAAAAAGCATAAAGATTGAAAAGGAAGAAGTAAAATTGTCTCTATTCCCAGAGGATGTGTTTCTTTATGTAGAAAATCGTAAAGAATTTGCAAAGCAACTGCTAGAACTAATAAGGGAATTTAGCAAGGTCATAGGATACAAAGTCAATGTAAGTGGTACACCTAAGTATCCAAGGCTTATGACTCCAAATGGGAGAGGGGCGTAAGGGGAGAGAATAGGCAAATAATGTACAAATAGAGCTGGAACTTTGGACCGCACTGTGATTTCCATCTCTGTCTCCTCCTCCTGCAGGCTGGCTGAAGCCAGTGCAGGTCCTCATGGTGCTCTCCCTCATCCTCTGCTGCCTCTCCTTCATCCTGTTCATGTTCCAGCTCTATACCATGAGGCGAGGAGGGCTCTTCTATGCCACTGGCTTCTGCCAGCTTTGCACCAGTAAGCACTAACCCCGGGAACTGAGGGGAAGGGAGGGGATGTGACAGGATGTTGGGGCCCTGGAATGGACATCTAGTGAAAGGAAACAATCCCCAACAGCCCAAGGACCACTTGAGATGTCCCCAGGGGCCACCTGTCTGCCCGAGGAACTGATGGGAGTTGTAGTTTTCAGTGACTAATTGGTGGTTGAAGCATGGGCTCCTGAGTCACAGGGAACCTGGCATGTAAGACTTCAAGGAGCCTGGGCTGGGGAAGGGGATGTGGGCAAATAATCTGGGTCCCAGAGATGGGGTGGGGGGCTAATTAATACACCAAGAGAGAGCTCTGAATCACGATAACTAAAAAAAAAAAAAAAACAGGTGCCATCAAGTCAGTGGAAAAGCTGGTGGTATAGTGGTTAAGTGCTATGGCTGCTAACCAAAAGCTCGGCAGTTCAAATCCACCAGGCACTCCTTGGAAACTCTACAGGGCAGTTCTACCCTGTCCTATAGGGTCACTATGAGTCAGAATCAACTGGACCACAACGGGTAAGGATCAAGTCAATTCTGAGTTATGTTGACCCTATGTGTGCAGTGTAGAACTGCTTTCCATAGGCTTTTCAAGGCAGGGACCATTTGGAAGCAGATCACCAGGCTTTTCTTCCAAGGCGCGTCTGGGTGGGTTACAAACTACCAACCTCTTGGTCTCTCCATTAGTGGTCGAGCCCTTGACCATTTGCGCCACCTAGAAATTTCTGAATCATCATAGTAGTGGCATTCTAATGGCAGCCAGCTGCTGTTTCTTGTGAACCTACTGTGTACCAGACACTTCAGGGAGTTCTGCGTACTTTTTCATTTTTTCACTTCAGGTGAAAAAGGCTCAGTTACTCATAAACCAAAAAAAAAAAACCCAAACCCACTGCCCTTCAATCAATTCTGACTCATATCGACCCTATAGGACAGGGTAGAGCTGCGCCATAGTTTCCAAGGCTGTAAATCTTTACAAAAGCAGACTGCCATATCTTCTCCCGCAGAGCAGCTGGTAGCTTTAAACCACCGACCTCTCAGTTAGCAGCCAAGTGCTTAACCACTGTGCCATCAAGGCTCCTTCAGTTAACCGTAGTCCTCAGTTTATGGAACATTATCCTCCTAAGTTCCGCTTGTTTTATTAATTCACTATTTGCGTGATTGGCATGAGTGGATGAATGAATACAATGGTCTCATTTTATGAATGAGTAAACGGGGACCCATAGAAATTAAATAAATTGTCCAAGGCCATTCTGTACTAGCCTCGGTGCTTGCGCTGGCGGAGCGTACTACATACAACTCCCTCTGTTGGCTTCTTTGCCCCAGGGGCTGGTGGGAAATGTAGTCTTCTTGAGGGCCCTCCGTGACCCGTGGTTTCCGTCTCCGCGCAGGCGTGGCAGTATTCACTGGAGCCCTGATCTATGCCATCCACTCCAAGGAGATCCTGAAGCATCACCCGCCTGGGGGCAGCTTCGGCTACTGCTTTGCCCTGGCCTGGGTGGCCTTCCCCCTTGCCCTGGCCAGCGGCATCATCTACATCCACCTGCGGAAGCGGGAGTGAGCACCCTGCGTTGCCTGCTCCCGGCCCTTCCGCTGCACCCCGAAGCCCCCGTCCCCGACTGTCTTCCAGAAAATAAAACCATCTAACCACGGGCCCTGACTTTGCCTCTTTCCTTCCTTCCTCCCTCCTCTAGCCACCCAGGCTGCTCGCTCCTGACCGCGCCTGGGCCAGGGAGAGCCCTCCTCACCCCAGCCACTCGCCCTCAGAATGCCAGATACAGGAGTCCTGGTCCCCAGCCGCCTTTCTGCTCCCACAGACCCAAGCCTCTTCCGTCTCAGGACCCATGAGCCCGCCCGCACCTGAAGGTAGACCTCCAGGAGCTTCTGGGGAAGAACCAGGAGCCTGAGGCCCAGCAAACCCTAGTAGAACTCAGGAGTCCTGGTTCCCAGTTCTCTCTTCTGGCACAAGGGTCTGTCACTGTTTCTCTCTTTGGGACCTAGGCTTGGTGTGTGTATTGTTCTAGAGTATTGGTCCTCTTTTTTTTATTTTATTTCCTGTCTTTCTGACCTTTCTTCTAGGAACAGAGTTTTCCCTTTCCCTCTTGGAACCCAGTTTCCCTCCCTCACTCTTCTCCCCTCTCCCCAAAGGCTGCTTCTGACCCCAAAGGCTACTTCTGGTCCACATGACACCTTACTACAAAGTAGAAGGCACATCCCTCTTCCTGGCTGATGCAGCCCATAGCAGAACACATTGGAGCATGGGGCACAGACTGGATTTTACACCTACCCATAGCAGCCCTGGTGGCGCAACGGTTAAGCGCTTGGCTGATGACCGAAAGGTTGGAGGTTTGAACTCACCCAGTGGCTCCTCAGAAGAAAAGACCCAGCAATCTGCTCCTGTAAAGATTATAGCCTAGGAAACCCTACGGGGCAGTTTTACTCTGTCATATAGGGTCGCTATGGCACCTAACAACATCTCCTGGCTGTGCCTTTGTGCCCTGACCAACCTGCACAACCGTACACAGCCACCCTGTCTCAGCTCATTGGACCCAGGGCCTCTACTCAGCAATCAGGTTCTCCTGAGATTCTCTTCTCTGACCCGCAGCCAGTCTTTATCTCACCAACCAAGAACCCAGCCTCCCTCGAGGACGACAGCTTCTCTGCCTAGATCCACCCACATGCATTAGCACCCCCTTTCCCCCCAAGACCCAGAGTCTCTTCCTTCCAGGATTCAGATGCCTTCCATCCCTCAAGTCCCACAGCACCCCCCGCCCACCCCCATCCATCTCACCCTATTCATCCAAACTTAGTAAACATGATTTATTCCTTTGGGAAGGGATAGTGGAGAAATTGATAGACTCATAAATATTGCACAGGCCTCCGGCAGTGGGGAGATCCAGACCGAGGTAGTTTCTGTAACAGGGTCAGGAAGGCACCTGAGGTTGTTGGGAGCCTGAGCGAGTCTTGGAGTAAAGATGTGTCTGGTTCCTCTGGGCCCACAGCTTTCTGCCAGGCACACGGCTCCCAACCCCTTCAACCTGGAGGAGGTGATCAGCAGCTGACCAGATGGCCCGCCATATACAACGCAGCAATTGATATGAAGATCGAGTTTCCTTTAGAAATTCTGATTGGTTGCTTCTGAGCAGCAACAACTGGCTACCCGAGGTTGATAGTGCCCAGCAGCTGTCACTGGTGGTTTGCCAGGGGACAGGGCTAAACGGCTCTCATTGGCTGCTGGCTGGGGCCTGGCTTAGTACACATGACTGGCAGTTTGCCGAGAGCAGGCTAAAAAGACAGTGATATGTAGACTCTGGACAGCACAGTTTTACTGTGCCTGGTGGTTTAGAAAAGACAGAGCGGGACGGCAGTGATTGGCTGGCACCACCTTCCCCCTATCCCCTAGCCAAACCACCCAGTTTAAGGTGGAGGAGAGACTAAGCAATGGAATAGAAGCAGAACTAGCTTTGACTGACTGTTCATCAGAAGCCTAGCAACTGTGGGCTGCCTTGATTGTCTGCTCTGTTTGACCCTCTGGCTAAAATGATCGCCTCAGAAATTAGGAGTTGGGGCGTGGCAAAGCGTAGTGGCTGTGATCGACAGCTTGTAGATGAGGCGAGGCTTAGTGCCTAGCCAAGTGGGTAAGCGAGTCTGAGCAGGAAGGTTGCTGTTAGGGGTTGTCACTGCGGGGTGTGGCCTGGGGGATCTCAGAAGTGATTGAAGTCAGCTGGTCTAGTTTGGGGAAACCCGGGGGAGGATAGAGCCCGATGCTGGGGGTCAGGGCTTGCAGGTGGGCCAGGGCCCGAGCTCCGTTAAAGGTCACCTCGCAGCCTGACTGAGTCAGGAGCCAGCTCTCCACCTCCGACTGGAGCCACTTGGACGTCTCTGTGGGGGGAGAGACAGGTGTTGTGAGTAGGTCATCCTGGGACGGGAAGGACAGGAAGGGGACAAGGGGAGGGGTGCAGGACAGGTCATCCGAGGGGCTCGGGTGTGGGAGAAGCCGGGGGATACACTTGAGAGTTGGAGAGGAGTGTGACAAGGCCTAGGCGAGTCCCGGGGGCCAGGAGGCTCGGCTCCGCAGTTCTCCTCTGGGGAGAGGCTAGGGATTTCTGTTCAGGGAAGAGAGCAGGCTCCAGTAGAGACAGGGGTCTGGGGTCCCCACAGGAAGGGGCGCAGGCTCACGTACCGGAAGGAGAAGGAGCATGATACGACCGGAGTCCGTCACGTCGAAATTTGGGTTCAGGGGTCCCGTCTGCTGAGGGGCGTGGCCACCTCGGAAATCGGTCAGGTTCCCCAGTGGGAGCTTAGCGATGGGGTAAGCGGGCAGCGCGGGGGTGGTGTCTCACAGAGACAGTGGCACTTCGGACTGAGTAGTGGAGCCTCGGCCCTGTAGGGACCCCGCTGCGCTCGTCTAGGCGGGCGAGGCGGGGCCTCTCGGGGGCGGAGCCACCTAGGAAGCGGGCTGCGAAGGGGCGTGGCGGGATACCCCTGGCCGCGATGGCGGCGGTCCCTTTAAAGGGCGGAGCCTCGATATACGGGGCGCGGCCTCTTGGGGGCGGGGCTGCGATTATATGGGGCGGTGCCTCTGGGGTCAGGGCCACCTAGGCGGGGTACCAGAGCCGCTTCTTACCTTGGGGCGGGCGGCTCGCGCCACCCGGCAGCCGTGCCAGGAAGCTGCGCGCCAGCAGCGCCTCCTTGGCGTGCTCGTCCTGCGCGCGCAAGGTCAGGGCGGTGAGCAGCTCCGAGTTGTTGGACGTGCTGCGGTAGTACAGCATGTGCGCCAGCTCCAGCGCCTGCGCGCTGCGCCGCTGCCCGAACATCTGCAGGCGGGACAGCGGTCGCGCAGGCTCAGCTCGGAGACCGGGGAGGGCAGGGCCGGGTCAGGGGGTGCTCGGCCCCACGCCCCCGCCCATACACACACACACCTCTCAGCCACTCAAGCTGGCGCGATCCTTCCTGCGGACTCATGGGGAGGGGCGATGGTTCGGGGTTCCAGGGCTCGGGCCCTGGAGATATGTATTGTAATACACAGGTTCTTGCCCCAGTGACTCCGTGGCCAGCAGCACCTTGGTGGGAAGACTACAGTTTTTAGAAATCGCTGCCCTGGTTCCTTCATCATGTGAATGGATTTGTTCAAGGGTTTCCAGAGATAACATCTTTAGCTTTAGACCTTTTTATTACCATAATTTTTAAAATCCCCTGGATGGCGCAAATGGTTTGCTCTCGGTTTCCAGGCTACTAACCTAAAGGTTGGTGGTCCAAACCCACCCAGCAGCACGGCGAAAGAAAGGCCATGGTGATCTGCTCCTGTGAAGGTTACGGTTTACAGCCAAGAAAACCCTATGGGGCAGTTCTACTCTAACACATGGGGTCACCATGAGTCGGTATTGACTGGAAGGTAGCTTTTTTCCAAAAAAAAAAAAATCTTTTAGAGGTATATTAAATAAAGTATATTTCCAGATGTTATATCTAGGATTTGCTTCAAAATAATTCAGTCTTTGGGAGGGGGGGAATCTTTGGATCTTTGGTGATCATTGCTAATTGTTGAAGCTGTATGCTGGGTACAGGGGAGTCCATCATGCTGTTTGTTCTCTCTGCTTCTGTATTTATTTGAACTTTCCTATAATTAAAAAGTTTTAAAATATTATATTGTAAAGAGAAGGGAAGGGGCAACTGAAAACAGACACAGAACTTCTTTCATGGAAGAAGAAATATGGGGGGAGGGGGTGCAGGTCTGGAGCTCAGCTGTCCGTTGACTGCCTCCTTCCTCCCCTGTCCCCTTGGCTTCCTGGACCCCCTTTCCCATCACTGGTGTCCCCAAGGAGGGAAAGTGAGAGCCCACCGGTGCTCTCTGAGGGTCATATTATAAATCTCTGCCTGGATTCCTCCATTCATCCACAAAATGGGCTCACTATGCAGCTGGCAAGCTTGGGTGCCAGTTCCCTCTCTGCCCCCTTCCAGCAGTGGGCCCGTGGCTAAGAAGCTAACTCCTTATGTAGCACTGTCTGTAAAACAGGGTTCATAACGGGGAGGGTTCAGGAAGTTTTTGTTGTTAGGTGCTGTCCAGTCGATTCCAACTCATAGCAACCCCATGGGACAGAGTAGAACTGCCCCATAGGGTTTCCTAGGCAGTAATTCTTACAGAGCAGATCGCCAGGTCTTTCTGACACGGCACTGCTGGGTGGGTTCAAACTGCTAACTTTTCAGTTAGCAACGGAGCACTTACCTGTTGTGCCACCAGGGCTCCTTTCAGGAAGTTAATATATAGTTAATAAAGCACTTTGGACAATCCATAACAAGCACTTAACAAACGCTAGCTATTACTGAGTATTCCTCCGCACCCTGTGGTGGGTGCCTCTTTTTAAAGTACCCGTTGTCTACCCACAAAGCACTGCTTATCTCACCACAGGCCTAAGACCAAATGCCTGTCAAGTCAATCCAAAAAGCCAAACCAGTTGCCTTGAGCAGATTCCGACTTCTAGCAACCGTATAGGATAGAGTTGAACTGCCCCACAGGGTTTCCAAGGCTGGATTCTTTACAGAAAGGATCCCTGGTGTCGCAGTGGTTAAGCATTCAGCTGCTAACCAAAAGGTCTGTGGTTTGAATCCACCAGCTGCTCCATGGGAGAAAGTTGTAGCACCCTGCTTCCATAAAAATTATAGCCTTGGAATCCCTATGGGACAGTTCTACTCTGTCCTATACGGTCACTATGAGTTGCGACCGACTTGAGGGCAATGAATAATCTTTACGGGAGCAGACTGCCACAGCTTTCTGCTGCCAACTGGCCGGTCGAACAGCCAACCTTTCGATTAGCTCTTAACCACTGCGCCACCAGGGCTCCTGTGAAGTCAACAAACCCCTGAAAATCGCTGAATGGGTAAAGATGACATGGCTACTGGGGACGGTACCTCTTTGTACAAGCCCAGCACAGTTTGCTTAGACCTCTGCACTGGAACCAATTGCTGTTTCTTCGGTTGAGGGCAAGATGGAGGAATTGCGCGTGTGCGTGTTAGGGAGTAACTAGTATGAAAACACACTGGGTTTTGCGTTTGCTTCTGCCAAGCCTGTGGAGTTAAATTCGCATTCACTCGATGGGTGGGTCATGCCACTCTGTGGCACATGGATGAAGCCAGATGTCTCTCTGAAAGAGGGACCATCACCTGCTACCTGGACGGTCCCTAAGAGACTCAACATGGCCACACTGAGCACAGCAGTCCCCTCCCATCTGGGGCAGCCGCACTGTCTACCTAATCACTGGCCAGGCCACCAGGCAGACTCTGTCCCCACCTCTGCGGTTGTGTGGAGTATGGGCGGGAGGGGTCCAGCTGGAGGCCAAGAGGCCAGGGAAAAGGCTGGGAGGGCGGGGAAGGAAGCCGAGGTTAGGGGCTGAACTGGGGCATGGCCACAGAGACTCAGGGGCACGGCCACAGAGACAAGGAGGGCCCGAAAGGACATGAAGGTGGCTAACACGAAGGTGGCTGATGGGTTGAGGGGCAGGGAAAGGGCAGCTCCCAGGGTCTAGGTAGTGAGAAAGGGGCCAACGGGGCTATCCACAGAGAGGGAGCCTGGGGCAGATGCTGTGCTCAGCCTGGCTGTGGTGGGTGCGAGGCCCGGAGGCGGGGAGGGCTGTTCCGGGGTGGCTGCTCCAGGCTGTGTGTGGGGTGCTGATTTAGGAGAGGGTGTAGAGATGGTTGTGGAGGCCCCAGAAGTGGATGAGACCTTCGAGGGGAAGAAAGAGGGACCTAACCCCTGCACAGAAATCGGCCTCCTGGGTGTCTGCTCTGAGCGGCTGGGAGCAGATAGTGAAGCCATCCTGAGGTGGACCTTAGCAAGAGAAAGGGGCTGTGGGGGAGGTGAGTGTGGGAAGAAGGGCTTGGGCACCCAAGTCCAGGGAGCCGGTGAGGACAGCGGTGTGGGGACTGGGAGAGGGACTTGTGGTGGAGGCAGATCTGGGAGCCACAGGGAGCAAACGAGTGGGAGTAGGGGTGGGGCGGGGAGGCTAGGACGGAGCGTGGAGGGCGCGTGTTGCAGGACTGGGGCTCAGCCCCATGTTGGGTGGGGGTGGGGTGTGGAAAATATTTAACAACACCAGGAAATTAACTAGTGAGCTGGGTTTTAAGCTGGGCCCCTCAGAGCCTGAGAGGTCCTGCAGCCCCTAGGGCCACTAAGGGTGGGACAGTCCACCCTGGGCTAGGACTCCCGGCAGCCTCCCTGCCTTCTCTCTCAGCCCCTCCCATGTGTCCTCTAGGGTCACCACAGTCTCTCTCTGCTTACAACCCTTCATGGCTCCCTGTTGCCCTGAGGATAGAGTCCAGGTCCTCACCTCAGCAGTTAAGGCTTTCACCACCCTCTGGGGCCTCACCTTTCTACCCTGCACCCCAGACTCCAGGCCCCTATATAAGCCAAGCTGTGCGCACCCGCTCCCTTCTCTGCCAGGTTCAAGCTGCCCTCTCAAACCCACTCAAATCCTGCTTCCTCCGGGAACCACCTCAGACCCAGGGCCAGCAGGAATTACTCTCCTAGCCCTGCTAAGAAGGAGCCCTGTTGGCACAGTGGTTAAGTGCTCAGCTGCTAACTGAAAGGTTGGCGGTTTGAACCCACCAGACATTCCACGGGAGAAAGATCTGGCAGTCTGTTTCCATAAAGATTACAGCCTTGGAAACCCTATGGGGCAGTTCTACTCTGTCACATGGGGTCACCATGAGTCGAAATCAACTTGACGGCACATAGGAGCCCTGCTTATGCACCTGGGTGCCACTGGGGGCTCTCCTTGGCTGGGGAATCCTAGCAGGCTCTCAGCCAGTGCAGCCTGGCTGTTTGCAGGATTTATTACCAGGCTGCCTACGAGAGCCTGCCGGGATGGCTGGAAACAGCTTGAAAAGCAATGAACCAGCAAGTGGATGATCGGGTACAACGGATGCCTCACACATTCCTGGGGCCAGTGCCAACCCTTGGGAGAGGCAGGAAAAGGCAGCCCCTCAGCCTTGAGACAGGGCACTTGCCTTGGCAAGCAGAGCACAAGTTGAGCATCAGCCCCTACCTGCCCCTTGTGCCAGGAAGCCTTGTATGGTCAACAACCTGTATAACTGTACGAGGCAGTCCTGCACCCACATGTAGCAGAATCAGGAAGGGGCTTGTCAGAGATACAGTTTCCTGAGCCTGAGCCTCAGCCTCAGAGTTTCCAATTCAGTCCATTTGGTCTGGGGCTCAGGAAGCTGCATTTATAGATCAGCTCCTCTGGTGATAATAATACCTTACCAGGATGGGGAAGCCCAGGCCCAGGGAACAAACAGTCCAATCAGTAATAAGAATAGTAATACCTTCCTGTGTGCCAGGCTCTGTTCTTAGCACTATATACATATTAACTCATTTAACCCCCACAACAACCCTATGAGTTAGGTAGTATAATCATTCCCGCATTCCAGATGTGAGAGCTGAGGCAGAGAGGTTAAACAACTCACTCAAGGTCACACAGCTAGAAGATGGTAGCAACAGATTCAAACCCAGGCAGTCTGCTCCAAAACCCACATCCTTCGCCACATCCCTAGCTTCTTCTCAAAGAGGGCGCTCAGTGATGGCTGTTAACTCTCATGTCTAGCCACATGCCAGGCACTGTGCCCCCTGCTTTTCACAGATTCACTCGTTAAATCCTCACAACAACCCTATGAAGTGGATCTCACTGTTGTCCCCATTTTCCAGATGAGGAAACTGAGGCACAAAGGGATTAAGAAACCTGCTCAAGGTTGTGTTGAGTAAATGAGGTTGGGAAGGAAGGGAGGGAAGGAGGGGGAAAAAGGAAGGAGGGAGGGAGGAAGGAAGGAAGAAAAGAAGGAAAGCTAAAAGGAATGGAGAGGGAAGAAGGAAGGAAGGGAGGGAAGCTAAAAAGAATGAAGGGAGGGAGGAGGGACGGAAGGAAGGAAAAGAGGAAGGAAAGAAGGGAAGCTAAAAGGAAGGGAGGGAGGGACGGAGGAAAGAGGAAGGACATGAAGCACAGCATGATGCAGGAATAACGCATGAAAGAAACAAAAATATTGAGTGGCCTAAGCATCTGGCTGAATGCCAGGAAGGAGGGTCACAGGGCCATGGCGGGACGGCCTACTCACCTTGGAGGCCCGCAGGCCCATGAAGACAGCGAAGAACAGCAGCAGCAGTGAGGTGCCCACCTTGAGGTCGGAGACCACCACCATGCCCACGTTGACAAAGAACACCAGCCCAGAAACGATCAGTATGAGGTTGAGCAGGGCGCGCTGCAGGGTTGACGTGCGCACCTTCAGCTCAGGCAGCAGCTGCTCCAGGCCCTCCAGTGGCGTGTCCTTGAAGCTCTTCAGCACCAGGTGCCCTCCCTTCGTCCGGGCCGCCAGCACTACCCGCTTAAAGTATCTCCTGAAAGGCAGAGAGACAGAGCAGGGTCAGGACCGCCCTGGGCAGCCCCCTCCAGTCCAGAACATTCTCTCGGGCTCTGCAGTTACACACCATTTAAAAAGGATACTTAATAATTGTTATTGCTGGTTGCCATTGAGTCAGTTCCAACTCACAGTGACCCCATGTTTACCAGAGAGTAGAACTGCGATCCACAGGGTTTTCAATGGCTGATTTTCCGGAAGTAGATCAACAGGCCTTTGTTCCAGGTACCTCTGGGTGGACTCAAACAGCCAGCCTTTAAGTTAGCGGTCAAGTTCGGTAACTGTTTGCACCACCCAGGGACTGTTGTTGTCAGGTGCCTTCAAGTCGATTCCGACTCATAGCAACCCTGTGTGTTACAGAGTAGAACTGCCTCATACCATGGGTTGCCAGAAGAATGAACGAATCTATCTGGCAGGAAGTACAGCCAGGGTGCTCCTTAGAAGCAAGGATGGCGAGACTACATCTCACACTTTGGACATGTTATCAGGAAAGACCAGTGCGTGGAGAAGGACATCATGCTTGGTAAAGTAGAGGGTCAGTGAAAAAGAGGGAGACCCTCAACAAGATGGATTGACACAGTGGCTGTAACTACAGGCTGAAACATTGCAATGATTGTGAGGATGGCGCAGTACCAGGCAGTGTTTCATTCTGTTGTACATAGAGTCGCTATGAGTCAGAACCAGTTCAATGGCACCTAACAAACAACAGTCTTTGTGGAAGCAGATTGCCAGGTTTTTCTCTGGTGGAGCAGCTGGGTGGGTTTGAACCACAACCTTTTGGTTAGCAGCCAAGCACTTAACCATTGCACCACCAGGGCCCCTTTACTCAATAATGGTGGGAAAAAAAATTAGAACTAAGTTAAGTGTCCAATCACAGGGGATCAATTAAATAATGCAATCCCTGATTATTGGACACATATGTTGGTTATGAATAAGAACAGGGCATTAGGATTGGAGGAAGACTCATTAACAACTTGCATTATGCAGATGACACAACCTTGCTTGCTGAAAGCGAAGAGGACTTAAAGCACTTACTGTTGAAGATCAAAGACTACAGCCTTCAGTATGGATTACACCTCAACATAAAGAAAACAAAAATTCTCACAAGTGGACCAATAAGCAACATTATGATAAACGAAGATTGAACTTGTCAAGGGTTTCATTTTACTTGGATCCACAATCAACACCCATGGAAGTAGCAATCAGGAAATCAAATGACCCATCGCATTGTGCAAATCTGCTGCAAAAGATCTCTTCAAAGTATTAAAAAGCAAAGATGTCACTTCAAGGACTAAGGTGTGCCTGATCAAACCATGGTGTTTTCAATCACCTCATATGCATGCGAAAGCAGGACAACGAATAAGGAAGACCGAAGAATTGATGCCTTTGTATGATGGTGTTGGCGAAGAATATTGAATATACCATGGACAGCCAAAAGAACGAACAAATCTATCTTGAAAGAAGTATAGCCAGAATGCTCTTTAGAAGCAAGGATGGTGAGACTTCATCTCACTTACTTTGGACATGTTATCAGGAGGGACCAGCCCCCGGAGAAGGACACTGTGATGATTAAGATTGTGTGTCAACTTGGCTGTGCCATGATTCTCAGTGTTTTGGCAGTCATATAACGCGATCACTTCCCTGTTGAGATTTGATATGTGATACCCCCATGATGGGATCTGCTGTGAGTAGCCAATCAGTTGATAGGGAACTTCCTTGGGCTTGTGGCCTGCACTGAATATAAGCAGACGTTCTGGCAAGGCTTGGGGGCTTTTTGCTCGCACTGGGTCCTGCAGCTGACCTCTGGTTCTAGGGACTTGAGCTAGCAGCTTACCTGTGATCTTGCCCGCTGATCTTGGGACTCATTGATCTTTGCAGCCTGTGAGCAAGAGCCCTGCTCTCTGACCTGCCAATCTTGGGTTCACCAGCTCCTGTGGCTACGTGAATCAAGAGAAGCCTCTATCCTGACCCACGGACCTGGGATGTTCCAGCCTCTACAACCATGACAGCCACTTCCTTGATATAAATTTCTATATATATATTTATACGCTTTACTGGTTTTGCTTCTCTAGAGAACCCAGCCTAAGACAGAATTTGGTACCAGAACAGTGGGGTGGAAGCAGTTGTGAAACTGTGAATGGATTGAGGCCAGAAGAGTTTTAAAGTGCCTGCTGGTGGAATTATGAATGTCAAAGACAATTCTGGTGAGGACTCAGAAGGAAGTGAGGAGAGCTGTTACACTGGAGACCAGCACGAGACAATGATGGAGCTAACCCACAGAGCACGACGTTCCAGCTGGAGTTTACTGGCGTGGGGTGCCTCCAGGCACTTATCAGTGGAGCTATAGGGCTTTGAAACACTTGCCCCAGCAAGGCAGACACGGGTGGCAACACTCAAGCGGCCAAGAGGCCAAGGAACTAGGAAGCAGAAGCTGAAGAGACAAGGAATACAGGAAGCAGAGCTGCCTCAGTCTCAAAGGATATGGCCACGACCTCTGAGGTCTCAAAGGGTGGAGTGGCCACTCAGATGGACTAGGAGAATGGGGCTGCCCAAAGCCAAGGGAGCAGAGTTGCCATTCCAGTGGGCCTGGAAGGCAGAGCTGAAGCCCAGAGCCGAAGGGCCTCCACCCAGAATCCAGAGAGTGTGGCCAACACCAAGAGTCTGGAGGGCAGGGCCATTGCCTAAATGGTCTCAGGGAACAGAGGATTATTTTCAAGCCATCAGGGCTAATGTAATGTGTTCTGCTGAATTGCTTGGTGCCACTTATCCCTTCTTGCCCTCCAATTTCTCCCACTTGTAATGGAAATGTCTAGCTTGTGCCTGTTCCACCATTGTACTTTGGAAGCAGATATCTTGTATTCTAGATTTCACAGACAAAGAGGAATTTTGCAGAAGATGAGATTTTAGACTTGGAGTTGATTTAAGACTTTTGTTATGATATGATGGGATGAATGTGTTTTACATGTGACAAGGACATGAATTTTGGGGGGCCAAAGAGTAGAATGTCATGGATTGAATTATGTCCCGCTAAAATGTGTGTCAACTTGGCTAGTCCATGAATCCCAGGATTGTATGATTGTCCACCTTCTTGTCATCTGATGTGATTTTCCTGTGTTGTAAATCCTACCTCTATGATGTTAATGAAGTGGGTTTAGCAGCAGTTATGTTAATGAGGCAGGACTCAATCTACAAGATTAGGTTGTGTCTTAAATCAACCTCTTTCAAGATATAAAAGAGAGAAGCCAGCAGAGAGATATTGGGACCTCCTACTACCAAGAATGCAGAACCAGGAGGGGAGTGTGTCCTTTGGACCCAAGGTCCTTGTGCTGAGAAACTCCTAGGACAGGGGAAGTTTGATGACAAGGACCTTCCCTCAGAGCCCACAGAGAGAGAAAGCCTTCCCCTGGAGCTGGCACTGTGAATTTGGGCTTCTAGCCTCCTAAACTGTGAGAGAACAAATTTCTCTTTGTTAAAGCCATCCAGTTGTGGTATTTCTGTTATAGCAGCACTAGATAACTAAGACAGACATCATGTTTGGTAAAGTAGAGGGTCAGTGAAAAACAGGAAGACATTCAATGAGATGGATTGACACAGTGGCCTTCAAGGATGGACTGAAGCATAACAACGATTGTGAGGATGGTGCAGGATAGAGCAGTGTTTCGTTCTGTTGTACATAGGGTCGCTATGAGTCGGAACTGACTTGACGGCCCATAACAACAACAAAAGTTTGGTTCTGACTTTGCACATATGATAACTAAGAACGGAATAAAATTCTGTTGTTTAATCTTCAACTTCAAATTCACATATATTTGCAGCGTGCCTACTAGTGCCAGGGACTACTATTATGCTCTAGAGATATTAGAAGATAGGAGTCGTTCATTATCTCTGTGGAACATATAGTCCAGCATAGGAGACAGTGTTAAGTACACAGTCTGCGAGTATAAGTATTTCTTTCGAATAGAGTCCTAAAAGTGGAATTACTGGTTCAAGAGGTATGAATTTTTGTTTGTTTGCTTGTTTTTTTATTCCTGACTATATTTGATAAAGGAGTCCCCCAAAGCCAGGGGTCAACTACAGAACAGACCATCAATTGCTCATATGCAAGTTCAAGTCAAAGCTGAAGAAAATTAAAACAAGTCTACAAGAGCCAAAATATGACCTTGAATATATCCCACCTGACTTTGGAGACCATCTCAGGAATGGATTTGACACACTGAATGCTAATGACCAAAGACCAGACAAGTTATGTGATAACATCAAGGACATCATACATGAAAAAAGCAAAAGGCCATTAAAAAGACAGGAAAGAAAGAAAAGACCAAAATGGATGTCAGAAGAGATTCTAAAACTTGCTGTTGAATGTAGAGTAGCTACAGCGAATGGAAGAACTGATGAAGTAAAAGAGCTGAGCAGAACATTTCAAAGGGCAGCCGAGAAGACAAAGTAAAATATTATAATGAAATGCACAAAGACCTGGAGTTAGGAAACCAAAAGAGAAGAACACATTTGGCATTTCTCAAGTTGAAATAACTAAAGAAATAATTCAAGCCTCTAGTTGCAGTTCTGAAGGGGAAATATTGAACAACACAGGAAGCATCAAAAGAAGATGGAAGGAATACACAGAGTCACTGTACCAAAAAGAATTGGTCAACGTTCAAACATTTCAGGAGGTAGCATATGATCAAGAACCAACAATACTGAAGGAAGAAGTCCAAGCTGCACATTGTTGAAAAACAAGGCTCCAGGAATTGACAGAATGCCAACTGAGATGTTTCAACAAACAGAGGCAGTGCTGGAGGTCCTCACTAGTCTATGCCAAGAAATTTGGAAGACAGCTACCTGACAACTGACTGGAAGAGATCCATATTTGTACCCATTCCAAAGAAAGGTGACCCAACAGATTGTGGAAATTATTGAACAATGTTATTAATATCACATACAGGTAAAATTTTGCTAAAGATCATTCAAAAACGCTGCAGCAGTACATCAACAGGGAACTGCTAGAAATTCAAGCTGGATTCAGAAGAGGACATGGAACGAATGATATCACTGTTGATGTCAGATGGATCTTGGCTAAAAGCAGAGTACCAGAAAGATGTTTACCTGTGTTTTATTGACTATGCAAAGACATTCGAATGTGTGGATCATAACAAATTATGGATAACATTGAGAAGAATGGGAATTCCAGAACACTTAATTGTGCTCATGCAGAACCTGTACATAGACCAAGAGGCAGTTGTTTGAACAGAACAAGGGGATACTGCGTGGCTTAAAATCAGGAAAGGTGTGCGTCAGGGTGTATTCTTTCATCATACTTATTAAATCTGTATGCTGAGCAAATAATCTGAGAAGCTGGACTATACGAAGAAGAGTGTGGCATCAGGATTGGTGGAAGACTCATTAACAACCTGAGACATGCAGATAGCACAACCTTGCTTGCTGAAAAAGAAGAGGACTTGAAGCACTTACTGATGAAGATCAAAGACTACAACCTTCAGTATGGATTACACATCAACATAAAACAAAAATCTTCACAACTAGACCAATAAACAACATCATGATAAACGGAGAAAAGACTGACGTTGTTAAGGATTTCATTCTACTTGGATCCACAATGAACACCATGGAAGCGGCAGTCAAGAAATCAAATGATGTATTGCATTGAGCAAATCTGACCTCTTTCAAGTGTTAAAAAGCAAAGATGTCACTTTGAGGACTAAGGTGTGCCTCACTCAAACCATGATATTTTCAGTCGCCTCATGTGCATGCAAAAGCTGGACAGTGAATAAGGAAGACTGAAGAAGAATTGATGCCTTTGAATTATGGTGTTGGTGGTGAAGAACACTGAATATACCATGGACTGACAGAAGAACAAACAAGGCTGTTTTGGAAGAAATACAGCCAGTGCTCCATGGAAGCAAGGATGGCAAGACTTCATCTTATGTACTTTGGACATTTTATCAGGAGGGATCAGTCTCTGGAGAAGGATATTATCCTTGGTAAAGTAGAGGGTCAGAGAAAAAGAGGAAGACCCTTGACAAGATGGATTGAGACAGTGGCAGCAATAATGGGCTCAACCATTGCAATGATTGATGAGGATGGCACAGGACTGGGCAGTGTTTTTCTGTTGTATGTAGGTTCCTATAGTCATAACCGACTTGATGGCACCTAACAAAAAGGAGCCCTGGTGGCTCAGTGGTTAAGCACTCAGCAGCTAACCGAAAGGTCTGCATTTTGAACCCACCAGCTGCTCCATGGGAGAAAGATGTCACAGTCTGCTTAGGTAAAAATTATAGCCCTGGAAATCCTATCGGCAGTTCTACTCTGTCCTATATGGGTGCTATGAGTCAGAATCGACTTGACAGTAATGGGTTTTGGGTGGCACAAATGGTTAAGTGCTTGACTACTAGCCGAAAGGTCGGTGGTTCGAACTGACTCAGAGACATCTTGGAAGACAGGTCTCGTGATCTGCTTCCGAAAGGTAACAGCCTTGAAAACTCTTTGGCGCACAGTTCTATTCTGCACACATGGAGTTACCATGAATTGGAGTCAACTCAATGGCAACTAACAACAACATTTTGATAAACTCATTTCCAGAAGGGTTGGGTAATTTACAGGCCCACTGGTTGACTATAAAAGGATCTGGTTTGCCTTAATTCTTAGCTTAGTTCTGATATTTTTTTCCCACTATTATTAAGTAAAGGAGCCTTGGTGGCACAACAGTTAAGTGCTCCACTGCTAGTGGAAGTGTTGGTGGTTCAAACCAAGGCTTCGAACCGGTTTGTCCCAGTTAGAATCCCTGCTGAGAATTTGCATCTCCACTTCAGATATACTGAATCAACTACAGTTTAACAAGATTTCCAGGTGATTCTTATGTATGATAAATTTTGAGAACCACTGCTCTACTGGTGGTTCTCAGAATTAGTCCCTAACCAGCAGCATTAGCATCATCTGGGAACTTGTTAGAAATGCAAGTGTTCCAAGTCCTGGTTCAAACCCACCCAGCAGCATCACAGGAGAAAAGACCTGACAACCCTAGCCTGTACTTGAGTATCCTCAGTCAAAAACCAGCTGTTCATCGGAGGCCTGGCTGCACCATTTCTGCAGAATGTGGCCTTCCCTCTCTGAGCCTCAGTTTTCCTCATCTGGAAAATGGGAGAACAGTGCTTACTCTTTCTCTTCCCCAAGGAATAGTAGTTCTCCTTCCCTTGGGAAGAAAAGGCAGCATTTTCATGATTCACCTCCTCCCTTTCTCAACTTCCCACCAGAGCCCCAGATGCCCACTCCCAAACACTGACCTGTCTGTCCCCTTTTGACTCTAAACTTGCTCCCTTTCAACACAACCGAGGAACAAGAGCCGCCTCACCTCTCTGCGGGGGGTGACCTGGTGAAGAAGCCACGCTTGGAGCCCACACTGGACTTCTGTGGCATCTGCCCGACTCGCTGGCCCAGGGCCCAGAAATGCATGTAGACGTACTGATCCAAATTTATTGTCACCTGCCAAGGGGGATGAAGGAGGCAAAGTGGCTGAACATGGGCTGGGATGTGAGGACAGGATGCTGGAATGAGCTGACCCTCCCTCCAATGACTTTCTCCTTTCCCCAGGCTTACCAGCATGCAACGTTTAGGCAGGGCAGCCATGTATGGTTGTTCATGTTGTATACTGCACAAGAACACCCCATCTAAGACAGTGCCACTCACAGCACCAAGTCACCTTAATTACTATATTTCTAAGATACCACTGAATTTTTTTGTAACTTCTTTTTTTAACTTTATTGTGGTAAAATATATATAACAAAACATCTGCCATTTCAGCTATTTTTACACGGCCAATTCAGTGACATTAATTCACCATGTTGTGCAACCATCACCACTATTCATTTCCAAAATTTTTATCACCCCAAACAGAAACTCTACCCATTAAGCAATAGCTCCTCATTCCCCTTCCCCCCACCCCCCACAGCCTCTGGTAATGTCTAATCTACTTTCTGTCTCTATGAATTTGCCTATTGTAGAGATTTCATGAGTGGGATTATACAATATTTGTCCTTTTGTGTCTGACTTATTTACTCAACATAAAGATGCCACTGATTTTAAGATACCCTATTATTTTATGAAAGGAGCCCCAGTGGCACAGTGGTTAAGCGGTTAGCTACCAATTGAAAGGTCTGTATTGGAATCCATCGGGCACTCTGAGGTAAAAACATATGGCAGTCTGCTTCCATAAAGATTACAGCCTTAGAAACTCTATGGGGCAGTTCTACTCTGTCCTATAGGGTCTCTATGAGTTGGAATCAACTCCATGGCAATGGGTATTGTGTCCCTCAAAAATATTTGCTGTAAAACCTTAGCCTCTATGCCTGTGGTAGAGCTCCAGTGGTGCAGTGGTTAAGCGTTTGGCTACTAACCAAGAGGTCAGCAGTTCGAATCCACTAGCTGCTTCTTGGAAACCCTATCGAGCAGTTCTACTCTATCTTATAGGGTCGCTATGAGTCAGAATCGACTCAACAACAACGGGTTTGGTTTTTTTGGTTATTCCTGTGGTTATAATTCCATTTGAGAGTGGGTTGTCTTTGTTATGTTAATAAGGCAGGGTTAGTGTAGGGTGTCTTGAGTCAGGAGCCCTGGTGGCAGGCACAGTGGTTAAGAGCTCAGCTGCTAACCAAAAAGCTGGCAGTCTGAATCCACCAGCCAATCCCTGGAAACTCTATGGGGCAGTTCTACTCTGTCCTAAAGGGTCACTATGAGACAGAATTGACTCGATGGCAACAGGTTTGGTTTTTTTGGTTTGGTCAATCTCTTTTGAGATATAAAAGAGATTAAACAAGTAAGCTAGCAAGCAGAGATGTGGCAAGATTGATGCCAAGCCACATGGAGATTTCCATGGAATCAGGAAACAAGCTAAAGAGAAAAGGACCTTCCTCCACAGTCCACAGAGAGAAAGCCTTCCCCTATAGCTTGCACCCTGAATTTGGACTCCAGCCTCCTAAACTGTGAGAAAATAAATTTCTGTCTGTTAAAGCCACCCATTTGTGGTATTTCTGTTATAGCAGCACTAGATAACTAAGACAGATATTATTTTATGAACTCATAAAAAACAAAATATGTCGCCAATTAAACCATGTCACACCATTGCTTATAAGTCACGTCCCCATTTCAGAGATGAGCAAATATGACTTTAGAGAAGGTGCATCTTAAGATCAGTAAAATGTGGAACTTTGAAGTATTTTAGTATTTTTATAAGAACTGTGATGACTTCAAGGATGGGCATTTTGTATTATTTATTATTATAATTATCTGGCCGACGACAGTAACATTTCTAGTCCTAAGAAACTCCGTATCTTATGATACTTTTCCAACACATGGACGTGGAGTAATCTGAGAATGGGGCGCCTTTTTCTAGTTCACTAGAGGCGCCACATGGACTAGTGCCCTGAGGTCAAGACTACAACTCCCAGCAGCCCCTGCTTCTGAGACGCCCCACCCCTACCCCAAGGCCTGCTGGGAATTTGGGTCCTGGTACCTGGACCCCGTCCTGAGGGTGGTGAACCACCAGAGCGTAGGCCAGGGTGTCCTCGGAGAGCTGGGAGAAGTTGGCCTGTATCAGCAGGGGCTTCAGAGCCTCAAGCACTTCCTGCTCGTTGGACAGACGCTGGGTATCCGTCAGCGAAGGCTGGTCGAGGGTCTCCCTGTCAGGGTTGATGGGGTCATACAAAGCCTGAGGGGAGGGTGAGAGAGAGAGACAATGCGCGTAGTCATAGCAGGAGGGATTGTGGGGAGACTTGAGGATGTTCCCGTCCCTGTCCTTTAAATGATTGAGTTCCCAGGGCTTGATCGTAAACCTTCTCTTCTCTCTCTTTAAGCTCGCGCTAAGGCGACTCACCATTCCCATGCCTTTAAACACCATCTTTGTGTAGAAAACCACCCAACTCACACCTCCAGCTCGGCCTTCTTATCCAAGTTCCAGACCTAATATCCAACTCTGGAGCAGGCTGCTATTGTCCACCAATACCAACACTCCAGCGGCTTCCTGCTGCGTTTGGAATAAAATCCAGACTCTTTCCACAACCTTCTAGGTCCCCCGTGAACAGATCTCTGCCTTGCTGACCTCATCTTATATACCGCCTCCCCCGCAAAAAAAAAAAAAAAAAATTGTTGAATGAATGAAGAAAGTTTGAGCTCTCAGTTACGTAGTCCATTTCACTCATGGAAAGACTGAGGCTCAGGGTAACATAATTTCTCCCACAGTAACAGAGGTGAAAGTGGATGCGGGCTGTCCAGAGACTACATTTCCCAGCTTCCCTTGGGGCTGGGTGTGGCCCGGAGACTAAGGTTTCACCTTCCCATCACTTCCATAGGACTTGCTCCTCTGGATTTCTGCACTTTTTTTGTTCGGCCAGCCTAGCACACTGTCTTGCCCGACCCAGTTTTGATCGTGCAGAGATGAAGACAATGCCCTAAGGGACAGCGGAGTAACAAGATGAAAGGCACCTGAGTCCCAGAATAATCTCACGTGGAACAGAGCCGCCTAGCCACCCTGCCCCGCCTTTACCACAGTGGGAGAGAAATAAATGTGCCCCTGCTTTAATCCATGGTGTTGTGGGATTTGTTTGTTACAGCAGCTAAGCCTTTGTACTAACTGATAAAAATTCCCTACTTGACACTTCTTTTGGGATGTTATCGTCAACTCAAACCTAACACATGTCTAGTCCACAGATCACATCCCCTACCCCCATCCCTAACCTTCCAGCAAAACAATTCGACGTTTCCCCTCCCAAACCTATTCCTCCCCCCAATCAACCATCCCTAGCTTTTCTTCTGAGCGCCAGACTCTTTTTTTTTTTTTTAATTGTGGTAAATATATAGGTAACAAAACATTTGCCATTTCAACAATCTTCACGTGTGCAGTTCAATGACATTAAATATTTCATCATGTTGTTCAACCATCACCAGTACTGTCTCCAGAGGTTTTCAAAAGTAAGCTAACTATAAGCCAACCATAAGGGATCGGTTAAATAAGGCAATCCCCTACTATAGGACACACAGCCCTGGTGGTGCAGTGGTTAAGCACTCAGCTGCTAACCAAAAGGTTGGCAGTTTGAAGCCACCTAGCCCCTCCTGGAAAGAAAGACCCGGTGATGTGCTTCCATAAAGATTACAGCCTAGGAAACCTTATGGGGCAGTTCTACTCTATAGGGTCACTATGAGTTGGAATCGACTCCATGACACACAACAACAAGGCTGTTTCTGATTTTGCACACTTCAAGCTCAGTGTGCCCTATGCATTATGTGAGCTCCAGACTCTTCTATTCAATTGTCTACTTGACATCTCCAGTTGGATGGGTGATGGCATCTTATATCAAAGATGGACCAAAGAGAATGCTTCATTTTCTCAGTCTCCTCCTTCCAGGAAATGGCCCCACTATCTGTTCAGATGCTCTGATCAGAAACCTTGGAGGCATCTTTGTGTCTTAGGAAAAGACAACTTTCAGTGCAGTCAGGAAGACAGAGGCATAATATGCTGACCATTCTCTCTAATTTTAATCTGGATTTCTAGACTAACAGCTATGTTTTTGAGAAGAACAGGTTTTTCCTCCGTGGTCAAAACCAGGATTTGAAACCATATGCCCTGAAGGGTCTTAACCAAGTGACCACCTGCACCCTTCAAAATACACCTATTCGGGAAGAGTACTGTCTGGGTGCTGTTGCCAACAAGGTATTTTTGCAAGATAGACAAAGAAAATACATGTAAGCATCTTGTGACCATGGTCTATGCATCCTGTGAAACTATCTGTAATCACTAACTGTGCTATTAATAACCAGCAATCAATAAGGAGTGTGATTATTATAACATTCATTGATTTTCCTATAACTGCCCTCCCTGTGGTTTCGTTCCTCTTTTTACCGTATAAGAATAATTGTATAATGAATCTGCCCAGACTAGGTGGTTCCCCAATTGCAATTGTTTTAAATCTTTATAAACCTCTCTGTTTTAACTTGAAACAGCATTCAAGTTTTTCTCTACAACACTTGATTCCTTTGTTATCACCACTACCACACCCAATCCTCTAGCAAGCCCACATCTATCTCTGAATCTCCCCTGAATCCATCTTACCCTCCATCTCTACTGCTACCCTCTAGTCCAAATGTTATGGATTGAATTGTGTCCCCTAAAAATACATATTGCAAATCCTAACCCCTATACCTGTGGTTAAGGATCCCTGGTGGCAAAGTGGCCAAGCATTAGGCTGCTAACTGAAAGATCTGCGGTTCAAACCCACCAGTCACTCCATGGAGAAAGATGTGGCAGTCTGCTACTGTAAAGATTACAGCCTTGGAAATCTTATGGAGCAGTTCTACTCTGTCCTACAGGGTCGCTATGAGTTGGAATCACTCCATGGCAAAGGATTTAGACTGGTTATACCTGTGGTTGCAATCCCATTTGGGAATGGGTTTTCTCTGTTATATTAATGAGGCAGTATTAGTGTACGGTGTGTCTTGAGTCAATCTCTTTTGAGATATAAAAGGAACAGATTAAGCAAACACAGTTGGGGGAAGATAGATGCCCTGCCACATGAAGATCACAAAAGAGCCAAGGAATAGAAGCAGAAGAGACAAGGAAGGACCTTTCCCCAGAGCCAGCAGAGAAAGAAAGCCTTTCCCTAGAGCCGGCACCCTGATTTTTAGACTTCTAGCGTCCCAAACTGTGAGAAAATAAATTTCTGTTTGTTAAAGCCACCCACTTGTATTTCTGTTATAGCAGCACTAGATAACTAAGACAACAAGCCACCTTCATCACTCACCTAAAACTTGCATGGGGCTCTGTTCTCTCTGCTTCCATTCCCACCACTTCCAAACCACTCTCTACACAGCCATCAGAAAGATCTTAGGTAAATTATAAACAGATACCCAACCCCACTCCCACCCCTCCAACAGCTTCCCGTTGCATTTGGAATAAAATCTTTCCATGACATTCGAGGTTCCCCAAGAACTAGCCTCTGCCTTGCCCACCTCATCTTATGCCCCACCCCAAAAACTAAAACAAACCCATCCCATTGCTGTGGAGTTGATTCCAACTCAAGGCCACCCCATGTGTTACAAAGTAGAACTGCTCCATATGGTTTTCTTGGCTGTAATTGTTGAATGAATAAAGAAAGCTTGAGCTTCCAGTTGCCTAGCCCATTTCACTGATGGAAAGATTGAGGCTCAGGGTGACATATGACTTGCCCTAGACTATACAGCAAGCCTTAGAAGGTAATCAACCCTCCAAGACAGAAGCCTATAAACCCAACCCTCTGTGTGTTTCTCAGGAGCGGTAGCCTTAAAGGGCAACTTTTTCAGGCTAGGTGCCATTTTGAATTAGTAGAAGGGAAGAGGGGAGGTGTGTAATAAAGAACGTGGCTGGCCTTTGTCCTTGGTTCCTGGGAGATAACCTCTAAATTCTGGGAGTTTCAAGAATGAGGGTGATGTCTTTGTTATTCATAGTAGGCCCCTGAGCCACACCTGATAGCTTATGCTAAGGAGGTGACTCATGGTAAGCCCTTCATAGTTTATGCTAATGAGATTACATGAGATGGGGGCTGGCCACACTGAAAAGACCAACCATGTGATTAGAGGGTTGGGGCTGTGATATAAGTGGTATCAGCCCTAGTTTCTGGGGAGGAAAGGAGGGCTGCCGGGCTGGAGGTTGAGTTCAATCCCATGGCCAATGATTCCATCAATCATGCCTACATAATAAAACCCCAATAAAAAACTCTGGCCACCAAAGCTCGAGTGAGTCTCCCTGGTTGGCAATGTTCTGCACCTTGTCACACAGTAATGTGCTGGAGGGTGACGCATCCTGACTCCACAGGGAGAGGGCAACAGAAGCTTCACCTTTGGGACCCTCCCAGACCTCCCATATGCATCTCTCTGTTTGGCTGGTTCTGACTTGTACCCTTTTGCTGTAATGAAACTGTAATTTTAAGTAGAGCACTTTGCTGAGTTCTGTGAGTCATTCTAGCAAATTACCAAACCTGAGGGGGTAGTTGTTGTGTGCCATTGAGTGGATCCTGACCCATAGCGACCCCATGTGACAGAGCGGAACTGCTACATAGGGTTTCCAAGGCTGTAATCTTTAGGGGAAGGAACCTGGTGGCACAGTGGTTAAGTAGTCGGCTTGACAACTAGCCACTCTGAGGTAGAAGGATGTGGCAATCTGCTTCCGTGAAGATTACAGCCTTGGCAAAGAAGATTCACAGACACATCCAACTCCCTGAGGGACCAAATTACTGGGCTGAGGGCTGGGGGCCATGGTCTAGAGGAACATCTAGCTCAGTTGGCATAACATAGTTTATAAAGAAAATGTTCTACATCCTACTTTGGTGAGTAGCATCTGGGGTCTTAAAAGGCTTGTGAGTGGCCATCTAAAACACACCTATTTGTCCCATTCAGTCTGGAGCAAAGGATAATGAAGAAAACCAAAGACACAAGGAAAATATTAGTCCAAAGGAGTAAGGGACCACAACTACCAAAGCTTCCACCAGACTGAGTCCAGCACAACTAGATGGTGCCCAGCTACCACCACCAACTGCTCTGATAGGGATCAAAACAGAAGTTCCCAGACAGAGCTAGAGAAAAATGTAGAACAAAATTCTAATTCACACACACACAAAAAGACCAGACTTACTGATCTGACAGAGACTGGAGAAAACCCAAGAGCATAGTCCCCGGACACCC